ACGGAGCTGTTGAAGCAATAGCCACTTTTCTGAGTAAGTCCTTCGTGTCTAAGCACCAGTCACAAAGGCACTCTTTAAAGTTTTACTTTAGAACACTTAAAGTGCCATTCCACTGCAGACACTCCAGGAAGCCAGTGTATGCATTGTGCATTCAAGACCTAGTTCTTTGATGTACAAAACTGTTCAAAAGCAAGCTATACTATTTTGCTTTAGGACTGGAATAACCCACTTTATCCTACCAGTATGCAGAGGGTGTACAAGTCATATGGACTTTACATTCAGTTGCTAAATCCATTCAGAAACATTCATGTTTCTTTGGATGAAGTTGTTGGATTGTTCCCCCCCACAACAAGTATTCCACAGTTTCCATAACAATGGTGTCAGCTTACAGTTTTTTGTAAATATTTTACACTAAAGGAACATAATCCTCTCATTAAGATCTTTTTCTAGTGAAGTATTCTTGTGCAGCAGGATGGAAAGAATAATTTTGGTCATTCCAAGATACAGAGATTTGCAGAAAAAAAAAAGGTATTGAATTCATCACGCTTTTGCAGTAGAAGCAGATGCTCACATCACATAAGCAAAGTAATGTTATCGAAAGGTAACACCAGCAGATACCACCCAGACTTGGCAGTGTTTCATATATTCATATTATGTGTAGAGAACTTGCACATGACATTAGGGTGTGATCCACTAGGAAAAATAAATACCTACATCACACCTGATCATTCAAGTTACCCCTTACAGTCATTAAGGAGAAACAGATACTTCTATGATTAAAAATTACGCTTGCCTTGAGGTAGGCAACTAAGTAGCTCAACTGAATCATGAATTAGAAGCACTTAACTCCTGTAGTGTCTACTCCTTGATGAATTCCTCTCTCATGGAATTGCCTATTTCTCCATGTAGAGATGCAGAAGTTTTAAAATTTTATGAGTCCCCTGAGTAGTCAGGTGGCTTACCTTCACAGCAGATGCGTCTTTGTAGCAGGCTCATCAAAAGCCAGTGCCTATCCTTTATCATTTCCCTGAATATACTCACCTGATACCTCACAAAACTCCCTTTTTTGACAACTTATCCCCTTTTATGAGCTGCTCAGAGCGAAACTGTTGTGCTAGAAGGTTTACTAGATTAGCTATAAAGTGAGCCAGGAGAAGCTGGTAGAATTGTTCTTGAGCTCCAAACTGTGTTCTTTATTCTCTCCCTAGAGATACATGCTGGGTACAGACAGCTAAATAATGAATCCTTCTACATAACAGTTTATCCTGTGACATAGGATAAAACAGTAGGAAAGGAATGGCAGAGACCTGATTTATACAGTTGTCTAAAAATGATCAGTCATCTGCACTACCTCAGAAGTAATTAGAAATGCTTTCAAAACACTTCAGAACTATTCTGCTTCATTATTCAGCATTGCCTTTCAGCATGTGAGGGTGGCAAGACTTGGTGATATAGGCTATAGAACAAATATAACATTGATTTTTTTTTTCTCTTTTTCTAGGCTCAATAACATCTTTTGTAGTGCAATATGTGAAAGTTAACTGGGACCTTTTTGGAGAACTGGCTTTAGGCATCTTCTCTGCAATAGATGCTTGTTCTCTATTTCTCATGCACTTCACTACCAACATCTGGGCATGTTACGCCGGCTATCTCATTTTCAAAGCATGCTATATGCTCCTCATAACAATAGCAACGTAAGTATAAAACCTTACAGTGCTGCCATTATGCACAGAATACTAACTGTACTTTAAATTAACTTTGGGCATCCTTCCTTTTACTCAGAGGTGGCTGACACAATGCTAGACATAACTGTTTTGGTAAAGACAAGGACACTTAAATGTCTAGTTATGTTGGGTTTGTTCTTCTAAACAACCGTAAAAGAAAAATTATCGAAAGGACATTGAATGTTTACCTAGGCAGAAATTAAACAAGGTACAAAATATCTTAATTACTAAAGGCAATGGTAACAGCAAAACATATTAGATATTTTCTTCCTTACTGGCATGGAAGATGCAAATTGAACAATAGGGACAAGCATGCCTTGACAATCATGCTTTAAGATCCTCTTATGTCTAGACCACCTTGCAAGAAAATGCAAGAAAAGATTTGGCATAGAGTGCTCCCCAACATAACTTTACACGTGTAATCCTTAATGATATTGTGATGTAAAAAAGGAATAACAGAACATTGGGAGTATATACTCAGACAAGGTCTCTTAGGAGACTAGCTATCCTATTATCAGAAAGAGAAGAATAAAAATAATATAAATAACAAAGATTATATATAACTTGTGTAACAAATATAAAACATTTTTATTACTCCAGTTATCATATTGATTGGAACATCTGAGGCTGAGGCTAACTGTATGAAGCTGAGGCTAACTGTATGAAATTCAACAAGACCAAGTGCCGGGTCCTGTGCTTGGGCCACAACAACCCCCTGCAGCATTACAGGCTTGGGGAAGTGTGGCTGGAAAGCTGCACAGCAGAGAAGGACCTGGGGGTGCTGGTCAACAGCCGATTGAACATGAGCCAGCAGTGTGCCCAAGCAGCCAAGAAAGCCAACGGAATCCTGGCATGTATCAGAAACAGTGTGGCCAGCAGGAGCAGGGAAGTGATTGTCCCCCTGTACTCAGCACTGGTGAGGCCACACCTTGAGTACTGTGTCCACTTTTGGGCCCCTCACTTCAAGAAGGACATTGAGGTTCTGGAGTGGGTTCAGAGAAGAGCAACAAAACTAGTGAAGGGTTTAGAGAACTTGTTCTATGAGGACCGGCTGAGGGAGCTGGGACTGTTTAGTCTGGAGAAGAGGAGGCTCAGGGGGAACTTCATTGCTCTCTACAATTACCTGAAAGGAAGTTGTAGGGAGATGAGGGTCGGTCTCTTCTCCCACATTATGAATGACAGGATGAGAGGGAATGGCCTCAAGTTACGCCAGGGGAAATTTAGGTTAGATATCAGGAAGAATTTCTTTACAGAGAGGGTTGTGAAGTATTGGAACAGGCTTCCCAGGGAGGTGGTAGAGTCCCCATCCCTGGAGGTGTTTAAAAACTGTGTGGATTTGGTGTTGAGCAACATGGTTTAGGGACCCTGACAGTGCAGGGTGAATGGTTGGACTCGATGATCTTAAAGGTCTCTTCCAACCAGATGATTCTATGATCTTTCAACATGCCATACTATTTCATTAAAAATACTGACAAATTTTTATGTCAAAACCCAAAATTATTCAGATACCACTTTAAAAAACTGCTAAAACTGTAATGCATGACAAGATTATGCCTATCTTTAATGTTGCCAAGTGAATCCTTTATTTTCATTTTGGTGTATTGTTAGTACATAATAGTGGATCACAGTAGACTATTTCAACATATTCTACAAAAAAAAAGAGTAAAAGCTTGCACAAAAAAAAACCCCTGCTAACATGGTTTGGAAAAGCAACAAAGACATGTACAAAAACATCAAAGTACACTACAGTTGTCAAGACTTTTTTTTTTTTTAGAGAAAGCAAGGAAGTAAACAAACAAATTTAGCATCATTTACTCTGTCCTTGATATATCACCTGCATGAATCGTTTCTCTTCATCAACTAAATGGAGAGCAACAGCTTTCCACCTAGTGCGAAGTAACTGACCTGCAAGTCTCACATTAGGTTCCAGATTGCAGTCAATCTGAGCATGGAACGCTATGCCTTGATGTTTGGATTCAACAACTTGGTTGCACTGGTGATTCAGGCCATTCTTACAGTAGTTGTCGTGGATTCAAGAGGCCTGGGACTGGACATAGTGACTCAGGTGAGTGCTATTAACTTACTTCCTATTTACTGCTTAGCAGTAAAAGTTTACCAAGAAAGAAATTACTATGCCAATGGACAACTTAATTCCCTCTTTCTTCTACAGAAATTCAGACGTCTTGCTTTTCCCTTGTGTCAGCCATCATTCTTCCCTTCACTTTTTAGTGCAGCATTTAGGATCACAGATGCTGGGGTTTTTTACTTTTTAGATGCTGGTTTTTTTTTTTACTTTTTAAAGGCAAGTACATCAGAACATAAATAATCAGGCCCTGCTATCTGACCAGCTTTTGCTAATTAATAAGACATTGAGTTCAGGCTAGTCTACATGACCACATGCTGTTAGGGGAGTTCAAGAACTATGAGACACAGCCTGGATTATCAGAGTTATTTCAGCTCAAGTGAAAAGGACTCCTGCCTTCTAATTCCAGCTCAGGAGCAAACCTGGTCTGTATCTCAATGTGAACAATAGAGTTTTCTGTCCATAATTTGGGCACTTAATTTGGGGTGGGATATCCTGTCTCACAACAGTGTCTCTAACTTCAGTCAGCCTAATTCCACTCATGTTGGAGTCAACTGAAACGTACTGACTTCTGCCTTTTCTCAGCTGGGGCAGCTTCCTACTCCCATAGATTTCAAGGAGACAAACTACTCAGATATTCTGCAAAGGGAAGGCAAAAGTTGCTTTAAAAGATTAAAGATTAAATTAAACACTAAAAAATAAAACTTTAAAATTATTAAGGACAGGAGTATGTAGTATTTCATAAATAGGTTTGCCAATGTTTTTGGAAATATTGATACAAAGTCATGGTATGTATACTGAAGACAGAGTGGCGACAGCATCGAAATGCGCAAGTAAGAGCAAAAAAGGACACACTGAGACTCTTCACTTATGTTATTCATGACTATGTGGGTAATGAAGCTACGTCTACATTTTGCACTAATAGAAAGAAATTCTATTGCTAATCTCTCCTCCTCTCTGATGTTTATTGAGAGGCAAAAGGATTGGAAGCAAGGGGTAGTTCTTCATTCCTCAAAATCTGCTGACTGTTGGAAAAGCTAAGATTTAGTTTAATCACAAAGCAAAAACTCGAACATTGAGAAACTGTGCCAGAACACAGGTAAACAAAACAATAGAGCATCTGTCATCTCCAGAAGAAGCAGCGTTTTGCTAATATGTTTTTCATTAATTCTTCTGCCTTTTTTTCTCCCCCTCCCAGTTCTTAATTTATGGAAGCTACTTCGCAGTCGTAGCTGGGATTTTCTTGATCAGAAGCATTTGCATGCTTATCTCAAGCAAATGCCAAAGGAAAATAGCAAGATCTTGCAAAGAGCATCTGAACCATGCTGAACACGAATCAAAAGAGCAGATTGTAACTGGCTATACGACATGGCTGTAGGAGTCAGGCAGACAGGCTCACATGGCCAGGCCATCACAGGAGAAGAGCTCCTACTGCAGCATGCAGGGAACAGCAGCACAAGATGAATGTACAACACAGCCCTGAAGAGCTACGCTGAGTCATTATAGCACGTCGCTACAACATATGCCAGCTAAGAGATCCCCATAACAGCACTGTGCCAAGAAGAAAAGATAAATTGCTTTACATTCTTCTTTACTTACCTAAAAAGAGCTTAACAGCAGTAATTTACACACAAGAACAGAGCAACCACCTTGGCATTCCACCATGCACAAGGGCAGAGATCAGAGCTGACCCTGCCTTGCTTGTTGTAGCTCTTGTATACGGTGTTGGCAAGCTGCTTCCATGCGCATCTGCTTATGCAGGTGGGTGAAGGGTCTATCCGTCTATCCTCCCCTTTGCACATACCTTGCTCTGAACCAAAGAAGAAGAGATTGTGTTTACATGATTGTATTCTTTCCTACCTAACTACAGGTGATTTGGTGACAGGCTCCTCCCTTCTAATTTAAATGCCCACATCACAAGCAGGCCTTTTGCACACAATGGTGCAGAAAAGCAGGGTTTGCACAACCTATCTGAGAATGTTCACTAAAACACTGCTAAGCCACAATCATTGCTTGGCCCACAATTGAAAGCTGCAACCTAAACACTGTACTGAGTCCATAGCAATCTCAGCCCAGAAGGGAAAAACTTCAGAGTCAAAACAAAAGAGAGTCCCACTCCTTTCCTTGCGCTTCCAGTAAAATTAAATTCAAGATTGAATGTCTTCGTATTTCAACAGGAAAAGAAAACATATCAAAGAGATTGAGTAGTATGGACTAAAAGCAGAGAATTATATTGTGGAGAAATTTGGCTGATTCCACACAGGAAAATTCCAGATTAACACGAATATCCAGGAAGGTTTAACTGAAACAAAAACTAGCATCATGTGTGCTTTTGAGTGCCAAACAAGGGAGGTCCATTGAACTCAGGCAAGGGTTCGGCAAGGTCAGCATCTCAGAATTTATCAAGAAGCTTCAAGTCCTACAGCTAATTTAGTCCATCACAACAGACAGTTACTCCAGAAGAACGCCTAATTTAATAAAAATTATATTCATATGTTAAAATTCTTTCTGTACTGCTGTTTGCTTCTAGCTTCCAATATCTACATCTAACTAATAAAAGCAGAAAATACTTAGTATTTACAGAATAATATTTTTCCTGTAGAGACACAAGCTATCATTGCATGGACATATGTGTTTTCATACAACTGTCCCATACTGCAACTAAACAAACTTCCCAGAGGTGAGAGCAGGCAGGAGAAGCTATTTGTTTCAAGTCACAAGAAGAATTGGTAGGATTTGACCAAATGAACCCAGCTAATTTTCTAGGCTTTTTGTTTACTATTATGCATTGCATGGACATTCTTTGTTGTAAACTGGCTCTAAGCAGAACAGCTTAACCTATGCAATTGCAAAAGCAGGAGATACACTTAGTCTCCACTAAGCAGTAAGTATCTTTTATTACTGCAGAACTGAGGGCATGATATTCCTGCCTGAAGAAACAGGGACAAAGTCCGATAGAGCAAGGACTATTTTGTTTTATTTTTCCTTGTGAGTAGGAACCTTCTTTTGAGGCATTTAGTTAAAGAACTAGGTGCCAGTCCTGGACTAGAAGCTAGAGTTTATGTTTACATAAAAAAGAAATCTGGTATTTCTAGCTCCACAGTCTCAAACTGCCTTTGGTACAGAAATTTAACAAATATTGGTCTCTATGTAACATCTGACAAAAGGAAAGGAATCAGCAACATGTGAAAATTTTCGCTATTATTAAAAAAATAATTGCAGTAGTAAGCTGTAGGAAAGGAGCGAGAAAAACTTGTAGAAATAATCATAAAAATTCTTCTGTTCTAAACTGGTCAGAGGTCACTGCCATCCATGTATATGGGATGCCACTAAAGAGCAAAGGAATGAAGCAGACACAACGTATCTGGTTTACAGCTGTAGAGAATACTGTCTTCAGAAAACAGATAAGACTTTAAAAAAAATAGTCTATTCCTATTCTCTCAAATTTCCAAAATAAAGATTCTGAGGTTGGGAGTTGGGGGGGAATATTTGGGGGTGGGAGGCGAATAGGGAAGGAAGAGGGCAGCTCTTTGGAGTGTTAGAAAGGACATGATACACTGGAGGTGGAAACAACAGCAAGAGAAAGGTAAGGCCTTACATTACGCCCTGGGTTTTCAGCTGCAAATCCATACTAACCCAGCAATCAGTTAGAGATTTCATCCAAAACAGTAAGATGCACACACCTACCTGGGTGTTCATATACATATTCGCACACTCATTGGAGATAGTTGAGGCTTGGCAGGTTATGAGCAAGGCTGGAAACACAGGCTCTCTAGTCCTGCAGGAAAAGGAAACTCTGAAAAAATCCACCTCTCCTTGCAGCTTTTAGTGCTAAGTGCTTATCTTTCTCCCAGCACGCTAAAGGATTCCACGTAAATATGAAAATCCAGAGCTGATTACATCACACCTCATAGTGAGGATGATGAAAATCCAGAGCTGAGTACATCAGCCCCTCTAAATACAATGGTAACTACCTTTGAAACATTAGTGAGTTTAGGGACAAGTCTTCTATGAAGATACAGTCCAGCAAGCTGATAAGGCCAGTTCTGGCCAACGAATTGTATGTTTGTATTCAAAGCAAGCAGGTATTAAGCAAGCACTGTGTGGGTTACCAGAGAAATGCTAGTCAGCAGCCACCTTTGAGCAGGCCAGTAGATCTCCCCAGCAGCATCTTCCCCATAGGTTCTTTTACTTTCTCAGAAGCCATTGATAAAGAAAGAGAACGAAACACAAAAGTAAGCCTGGCTTTTCTGAACACTTGCCTGCCTGGTTGCACCACACACTTGAAGCAGTGTGAGAAGTTTTCATACCTGTAGAGCAAGACCAGGCTCTGCCCAGCTCACAAAGCTGCTCTAGATAGCACGGGGGGCCTCTCCCTGCCAGGGCCACAGTGTTTGCTTCCAGTGTCAGCACAGATCTCACCCAACAGGGTGAACTCTGTCCTCTGATGAACCTTGGAAGATACAGGGAGTCCAGTCTAAAAAAAAGAAAAAAAAAAATGGGTAAAGGACAGCAAAGGAGCAGCATTTCTCTGAAGCAGTTCCATTTTGATTTTTTAGAAGTTTATCATCTTCTTGTCCATTTGCCCTGAAGTGACAGACTGGTCATTATATAGAAGTAATTCCTGGCCAACTAATAGCATGAGGTATTCGTTGTTCCACCTCCCCAAACGCTCAGCAAAGCCAGGACAGTCAGAAGAGACCTTGTGAGCCCAGAGACTACTGCACTATGCACAGGGGAGGGTCAGCGTCAGCCCTACTGTAAAATGAGAACTGTGTCTTATCCATGAATTGGAGACTAGAGCTTTTAAAGGTATTTATTAACACAAAAATGCGATCAAGTGATTGCTTTCTTGCCAAGTCAGTTTTCATTAATCATTAGCTACTGCAAGTCTTAAAGCTTCATCTTAAAACTGGAACTCAGTTTGCTGCCAAAACCTGTCAAGGAGAAAGCATCCCCTACAATCTTCACGGACAAGTTCTGCCAGTAAGAAGAGCTGTGATTAATTATTATTATTATTATTAAAATTCTGATAATATTTCATCAAGTTTAGAAAGAACTCCTAGGAAACAAAAGGACACAGAAATTTCTTACTACCTCCAATCCTAAAAGGTAATTTCTGACTTCTCTTCTACAAGACAAAGTCATCCTGAGAGGAAACTGCACATGAATCCACAGCAAACGCACCACAGCCACAGCTTTGACAGGTAAAGATGATTCGAGGGCTGGAGCACCTCTGCTATGAAGACAGGCTGAGAGAGTTGGGGCTGTTCAGCCTGGAGAAGAGAAGGCTCCGGGGTGATCTTATTGCAGCCTTCCAGTACATAAAGGGGGCCTACAGGAAAGCTGGAGAGGGACTTTTTACAAGGGCGTGTAGTGATAGGACAAGGGGCAATAGATTTAAACTGAAAGAGGGGAGATTTAGATTAGATATAAGGAAGAAATTTTTTACATTGAGGGTGGCGAGGTACTGGAACAGGTTGCCCAGAGAAGTTGTGGATGCCCCATCCCTGGAAGTGTTCAAGGCCAGGTTAGACGAGGCTTTGGGCAACCTGGATTTCTCTGCCCATGGCAGGGGGCTTGGAACTAGATGATATTTAAGGTCCCTTCCAACCCTAACCATTCTATGGTTCTATGATTCTAATTCACTACCTTTGGAGTTGTTGGGAAGTGTGCCAGCCAATCGATCAGTGCATTTGGAAGTGATGCAAAATTTATGCTGATGTTATTGATCAGTCCAGGGTTTAATATATTTGGATTTTGAAAAGACAACAGATATCAAAAGATTTTAAAGCAGATCTAGAGTTAAGGATAATACAGGCTGTATTTTATATACAATGATTTGTAAGAGAAAGATGTTAATCAGAGGCAATAATTTAAAATCAAGTTTCAAGGTTAGGGCTGGTTTTTGTAACGTTCCTCTGAGGTCACAGAAATGCTGCCTTAATACCATACTATTTATGCTTAATTTTAATAAATACAATCTCACAGTGCAAGAAGAAGCACTTTTGAAAAAGTGCCTGCTATAAAATGAAATTCAACAATTTAAAAGAAATAGCTTGTAACAGCTTCATTAAACATCAGTCAATGCTTTGTTTTCATTCTCTTATGTTTCAGAACATTCTTGTTTTATTTGTTTTCCAGGAACAGTGGAACTGACTTTCTAACACAAAATAAGTAAAATAAGCTTAAAAACACAAATCTCTTTAGACTTCTTTTTGTCACCAACTACAGTGGAGAAACAAGTCTCATTCTTTTCCTTTTGATCATCACTTTCAAAACTGAAGTCAAGATTCCTCTCTTCTAAGTCTGAACAGGTATCATGAGCAGACAGTTTCTGCATCTTTCTTTACCCACTCAGATGACTGGAGTGC